CCCGCCCCCCGCACGGCCCCACGCCCCGCCCCCGCGTGACGCCAGGGCCCCGCCTGCCAGCCGGGGACAAGTCGGGGCTTGCAAGTGCACGCCGCGCCCCCTACCTCCGCTAGGGGGGTTTCCCTGCAACCCGGGGGCGGGGAGCGGCCTGGCCCGCGGCTGGAGGCCCACGGGGAGGCGGGGGCACGACACAGCCCAGGCCTGGGGTGCCAGACACCGGCTTGACACACTGACACACTGACTAGGACCCACGCCCACACGGAGACCGAGGAAGACACACAGACTGACCCACTGGCCTGCAGGGTGCACAAAGTCATGTGCTGACTCAGCTGCTGGGACTGAGGCTGACACTGGCCCCAGTAGCACAGCTGCAGACGCGGAGTCAGGGGCCTGGATGCACAATCTCACACACACACTCCCAAGACAACCAGATGAACCCCCTGACAGGCTCACAGGGACACACACACCAAGTGACAGCCCCACACATAGTTACACAAATACACAGCCTTGAGCCAGGCTCAAAAACTGTGTCCCGTCGTGCCCACACATTCGCGTAAGAGGCAGGCAAGCTGAGTTCCTCTCAGCCCAACTTTGTGACAGGCCCACCCTCCCCTGCCCCACAGGCACCTGTGACGGGGACACCTGGACACACACCCGGATCCGCACGAAAGGCACTCCCACTCAGACACACAGAAAACACACCCAACGAGGTTGCTTCAGTGAGACGCTGGATACATCAGAAATACCGAATCAAACATAGAAGAAACTGACCCCTGACACTCGGTCCAAAGTCACCCGTGACAGGTTCCTGCTAAGTGGCCCGATGGTGGGACACACTCATGAGCATGCACACCTGCCTCTGCACCCCAGAAATCTGGCACTGCCCCTGGGGGAGGAGGCAACCCCAAGCACAGGGCACCGACATGCCCGGGCAGCCCCCTGCACCCTATTCCATCCTGTCTGCTGGCGTTTCTGTTCCCTTTTCTGTTTCTGTTTCCCTTTGTTGTCACTTCGCCTCCCCTACTGTGACTGGGTGACCTTCCTCCTCCTCCAGCCTTGGACAGCTGTCCCTCCTGTGCCTGACATTTTATTCCTTCTGGGTCTCCCTCAAACCCAATCACCTCACTGAGGGTGTGAGTCACCCCTGAGTGCCCAGCACAGGGCTGGCCTAGAAAGGATGTGTCCCAGATGTGTGGGAAAGGATGTTTGAAAACCAGTCATGGTGGCTCTTGCCTGTCACTGCAGCACTGGAGAGGCTGAGGCAGGAGAGTGGCTGGGAGGTTGGAGCCAGCCTGGGTCACAGAGTCGAGTTCCAGGCTACCCTGGAGTACAGAGTGACCTTTTGCAAACAACCAAACAAACAAATAAACAGGCATGGCAGGCTCACCTTCAGTCCCAGCCCTCTGGAGGCAGAGGCAAGCGGATCTCAGGAAGTTCAAGGCCAGCCTGGTCTACATAGTGAGTTCCAGGTCAGCTGGGGCTACTGGGAGACCTTGTCTCAAAAAGACCAAACAAACAAGAAAACAGCTCGTGTGGTAGTACTTGTCTTTAATCCCTGTACTTGAGAGGCAGAGACAGACTGATTTCTGTGAAATAGAGACCAGCTTGGTCTACATAGTGAGTTACAAGACAAGCCAGACAGACTGAGACCCTGTCTAAAAAAAAAAAAACAGGTGCTGGAGAGATGACTAAGAGTGCTTGCTGCTCTTCCAGGGGACCCAAGTTCAGTTCCTAGCACCCATGTCAGATGGCTCATAACTTCCTGTAAGTCCAGCTCCAGGAGATCGGTTGCCTTCTCTGCCTCCATGGGTACCCTCATGCACATTCACAGACACATATATACATAAATAAAAGTAATTAAAATAGGCCTGGTGGCACTAGCCTTTAATCCCAGCACTCAGGAGGCAGAGGCAGGCAGATCTCTGTGAGTATGAGACCAGCCTGGTCTACCTAGCAAGTTCCAGGCCAACTGAGGCAGGAGGATCAGAAGTTCTGGGTCTTGTCAGCTCCATAGGGAGTTTGAGTCCTGCCTAGGATATATGAGATGAACAAACAGACAAACTGTAGTGAGGGTACAGTAGGTACAAAGGAGGTGTATTTCTGGCTGTAGGTCAAGTTCAGGGAAGTCTGCTTCGGACTTATTAAAGGAGATGGTGCGTGGAAGTCATTAAGTGCAGTGTCTGACAGGAAAGCCTAATCAGTATTTGCTATTGTCATTAGTGTAACTAATTAGGGACAGTGTTTGCTCTGGATCTCCCAGGGACAGAGCTGGGAGGGGGACAGCTTGTGTCCTCAGCCTACAGTCCAGCCTGTGGCCCTCTATCATCAGCCTGTGACCTCAGGCTGCCAATGCAGCACCAGACCAGGTATGCTGGAAATGTTCCTCTAAGTGGGAAGTGGGTGGGAATTTGACTTGATGGCTGAAGGTGGAAGGGAGAAGCTATATAGAGCCAGGTCCTCAGCTTCCCGCTCAGCAGTATCCCAACCTGCTCCAGTCACCTCAGACCCGGGGCTCAATATCAAGAGCCATCATTAAATAAAAGAAATGAAATTCAGGCCTCCTGTGGTGCAGGCCCATCAGCTTAGATACTCTGGAGGCGGAGGCAGAAGGATGGAAAGTTCAACAACTTATGGAGATGTCTCAAAATAAAACAGTAAAATGAGGGTTGGAAATACAGCTCAGCTGGGGCTGGTGAGATGGCTTAGCAGGTAAAGGCACTTGCTACCAAGCCCAGCAACCTGAATTCAATCCCTGAGACCCATGTGGTGGAAGGAGAGAACCAACTCTCACAAATTATCCTTCAAACCTCCACATCCATGCCCATACACACACATGCACACACATAATATAAATAAATGTAATTTAAAAAGTGCTGGGCAAGCAGAGGCAGGTGGATCTCTGTGAGATGGAGGCTAGCCAGGGCTAGTGAGACCCAGCCTAAAATAATAATAATGAAACAAACAAACAAAAAAAGAAATACTTCAGCTGTAGAAGTCTTGCTTGAAATCTACCAATGGGGTAGGTATGTGAGGTGTGGCTCAGTCACAGAGGACTTACCTAGCAAGAGGCCTTGGATTCAAATCTCAGCACCACAAATAAAGTAAGAAAGTAACTCCACTAAAATAATAGGGAATGATGGGGACTGTGGCTAAAAGTTTGTCTGTGGGCCAAACTCTGTTTTGTTTTTTTTCCTCTTAATGATACAGGGCCTTGTATAGTCCAGGCTGTCCTTATGTATATGTGTATCTCTGTATATACTTGTATATGCATGCATGTGCATTTATATGTAGGTACACTTGCCCATGCAGACACGTGTGGAGGCCAGAGGTTTGTTTCTGGTGTCTTCTATCACTCTCCATCTTATTTTATTTCGTTTAATTTGTTGTTTTTTTTTTTTTGAGACAGTGTCTCCCTGAACCCCTAGCTGGCCTGGAACTTGCTATGTACACCAGGCTGGCCTTGATCTCACAGAGATCTGCTGCTGGGTCTGAAGGTGTATGCTACCACGCCTTGCCCTACTTTTATTTTTGTTCTATGTGTATGTATGGGTGTTTTGCCTACGTGTATATAAGTGTACCATGTGTGCAATGCCATGGAGACCAGAAGAACACATCGGATCTCCCAGAACTGGGGTTATACACAATTGTTAGCTGCCTTGTGGGTGCTGGGAACTGAACCTGGGTCCTCTGCAAGAGCAGCCAATGCTCTTAACCACTGAGCCATCTCTCCAACCTCTCCACCTTACTTTTTAAGACAGGGTCTCTCACTGAACCAGGAACTCACAAATTGGCTACACTAGCTGGCCCATGAGCCCTGGGGATGGTCTTGTCTCTGGTCCCATAGTGCTGAGGTTACAGCCCCAAGCCACTAGACCCAGCTTTTTATGAGGGGGTGCTGGGATTGAGCTCAGGGCCTCCTGCTTATGCAGCAAACACTTCACCCACTGAGCCATTGCCCCAGCTTTGAAGGACTGTGTTTCTGAGACCCTTTGTCCTAAGGCTATAGGGATAGGGTAGGACCCACCTCCATTTCATGTTAACCTTGTGTGTACCCCCAATCCCACTCCCATCATAACAGGACTCCTGGGTTTAAAGGACTCTCTGGCTAAACTTGGAAGCATTTTTCGGTCTTTTTGAGACAGGGTCTCCCTGTAGTTCCAGCTGACCTGGAACTCACTGTATAGACAGTCTGGCCTTGAACTCACAGAGATCTGCCTGCCTCTGCCTCCCCAGTGTTGGGCCATCATCCAACCTGGCCTTTCAGCCCTGTACACCTAGATTGGGGGCAGGGCTCTCAAGCTTGAAGGAGTCATAGGTTACTTTTGCCAGAAGATGAACGACAGGTGAACAGAGATGTCCACACAGGGAGGGAGGAAGATCAAGAACTTCCAGGAGTGCGGAGCGTCCAAGAGGCCAAGAGAGGTGAAATGGAGAGAAAAACGAGAGGGGTGGAAGTGGGGTGGCTGGGCAGAGGGTCAGGCTAGCCCTGGGCTTTTCCACATCACCTCACATTTGGAAGTCAATGAGTCTTGACCGTGGGGCTGTCCCCGGCATTGTAGCATGCTGAGGAGCATCCCTGACCTCTGTCCACCTGGTGATGCCACAGTGCCTCTGCCCTCAGTGACATCCAAGTGTCTCCTGCAAGGCAGGTCTACAGGAGGAGGGCTGGGGGCCTGGCTCAGTGGTAGAGCACCTGCTTAGAATCCCTTAGTGAGGGGCTGGAAGTGTAGCTCAGTGGTACAACACCTGTTTAGAATCCCCCAGTGAGGTCCTGGGGTGTAGCTCAGTGGTAGAGCACCTATTGACCTCAAGTGACTTGAACTGGAAAATTAAAACTAGTGGGACCTCATAGTACACATCTGTAATTCCAGTCCTCAGGAAGTAAAGGCAGAAGGATCCAGAATTCAAGGCTGGCTTAGGCACCTCTCTGTCTCTCT